GTTAAATTAAAATTTGAATTTTAGCCCTCCAGCGACTCTAGCCGGAGCCTCCCCACGGTTGTCGTTCGCGGTGCCTTGATCAAGATCGATGGTCGGCTCTTATCAAGCTAGACATGTTAGTATATTTCAATAAATCTTATGATAATGTAAAATTGTCGTACCGTAGCATCGTAGTTCACCATGCCTAAAAGAATACTGCTCCCGCGGTCGGCACCGTTGCGGCCGCGGGATCAAGCTGTCTTTTGCGTCCATGCCGCCAACGCTGCGACCTTGCCGCCACCGCCGCGACGATGCTGCCACTGCCACTTCGACGACCATGCTGCCACTGCCAGCACCACTATCTCAACATGGATGTGCCAGTGCCGTCACCACCACCGCTGCCGTAATTGCCACGCACCACAGCTCAAATTGAGGTATGTGCGATGTCTAGTTAATTAATTAATATCTCAAATCCGATCCTTCTATTAATAGATATTCTCACCTTGAAGTAGATAGCAGGTGTTGTTGATATGTAAGGTTCACTATATGTAGAAGCAAGGTAAGAAACGATCCAGCAGAGAATAGAATGCACGAAGTTCCATTAATTGGGGTTTCGGTAGTTCCATTAATTGAAACATGTACTGTATGTTATGTTAACTGTAAGGTTCGGGCGCCGCCTTTATAGCTGTTCTCCTAGTTATGGGCATAGACGCTCATCGAGGTAGCACTGGTGGTTTATGTTGCTGTGTGTGCGATATCACAACCACTGTTGGAAGTGCAGCGTTATTTCAATTTATTATTATAGCTACCATGCATTTCTTCACATTGTATGGTGTTGACAAACACCGTGTTTTATATAACGATGGTTGTTAGCGTTGATGCTGGTTGATATTTAGAGGGCTGGCGTTGGTGTTAGATGGTTCGGGTTGTCACGGGCAAAGTAGTTTTGTCGCCTACCTCTATCACTGTCTGGATCACGCGGGTGGAGTGTCCGTTCTAAACAAGTTAGTAGTAGTGATAGATTTCATTACGTAGGATGGTGTTGAAATACACCAGTACTTTGGATGACCACAGCTGATATGTAATATGATAATGAGGTACTTTTTGATATTGCCGAATGATGTAGTAACATACCGTAAGTCGCTGTCGTCGCAGTTGTCATCGTCGCTGTCGCCGTAGTTGTCATTGTCGCTGTTGTCGTCGTCGCCACAGTTCCTAAACATGTTAGATGCGATTCATTTCCTTGTATTGGATGGTGTTGATGAACACCGAGGAAGTGTCGGCTACGAGTGAAATTTGGAAATGACTGCAGAACGACACTTTCATCCGCATAAATTTACCGTACGAGTAGTCGGTTGGCTCCTGTGTTAAACCTAACCCGTGTTGCTATGGATTCAATTCTCATTCTTCAATTTGCATTGTTCGACGCACTTCGATTTTATTCGACCGCACACACTAACTTCGATTATCCAGCTCTCGGCCCACCAGGCCATTAGAGCCAAATCTAACAGTGGTCGAAGGCATCGACCGACCTTCCGGATCATCTATAAAGTAAGAGAGATCACGTTCCCACCAAAACTTATACAATCCACAATATCTATTTCGACGACAATTAGATTTTACAGGTGTTACTCATGACTGTCGAAATCAGCCAAGTCACAATCGTCACAACTGTCGCCATCGCTGTCGCTCTCGCTGTCCGACGAAAAGCACGATCCCGCGGCGTCGTCGACGTCGTCCAAAGACTGTGGGTACGCTGACAGGTCCACAACCTTACGCGTCGTATGACAAATGCAATCGTAGATCACACTGCTTGGAAGGCGATCGAATTCATGATCCAGCCTCTCGCGGACGTCGGGGAACTTGGTGGAGGTATTGTATTGACGACCAACACCACCATTGACATACGACCGAACCATTTCAATAGGTTGCATGTCGGAGTGATATGGCGGCGTGAAGATGACGTCATGGCCGCGGTCCGTCGCCATCTTCACGATGACAGGTACGACGTTGTCTGCGACGTGTTTCTTGAGTTTGGTCCATAGCGTTGAACGATATTCCCTGGGCTCAGTTGGAATTCCAAGCGCCACACAAGCTTCCATCATCTTCACGCTCCATCCACGATCCCTTAGGCGTGTCGTCAGGTAGGCCTGTATGATATTTCGCATTGTCTACAACGATGATCGCGTTTGACTTTCCCAGAGCTTCAACGTCATCGAGGAGGCGCCAGAACCAAACCACAAAAAAGGTATGGTTGAACATGGCGTGGTAGTCCTTGGGCTGCTTACGTCCACCTTCAAACGCTTCGTAGGTCAAGAGTTTCGAGTTGTCACGGCCATCTGCCTTGATGGCAGCAATGAAGCACAGTCTCCGTCCCTTGTGTCTTGGCTTGGAGTCGAAGGCGTCACATGGGTGGTAAATGCTGTCATTATGGAGCGAGTAATGGTGATGGATGTAGGATTCATCCAAATATACGACCGGTCGAGGCTGTGAGGACTCAAACGCGGCAGACATGTATTGACAGTCCACGACAGCACCGAGGGGGCTTAAGCTCGCGTTCACTGAAGAATTATCGGATTTACCTAAATTTTACTTCAGAAAATGCGTAATAAAAAACTGTATTTCAGCTGTAACATTGAAATGCTTCGAAACACTATCCTGTGAATCACGTTGTTTCCAAATAAAATTGTTACTCCAATTTTACCTCAAATCCTAATAACCCCTCAAAATATATTGTGGGCAGGTTTTGCACCCATATTTAATGATAGAGGTTCCATGATTGGCCATTCCTCTATCATGTAATGACGTAACCTCGCACTGGCTCCTTTGATTTCACTGGTTTATTGCATTTCATTTTGGTCACCGACATGGTCAAATCAGTCCGTAGTACCGTTGATGTGGCGGGGTTCGATGAAATATGCAGCTTTGACCAGGCTAATCGCGGCCGGGCCTTGTCAAAAGTTGAGCGGCTTGATATCCTACGCATGCACGCACACCTACGGCTCGAACAAGCCACCAACAAAACCACTGATGACGTTTCGATGCATATCGCAGAGACGCTTGGTCGTGGGAAACGAACCGTGCAGGGGGTATGGAAGGACTACATCGCAACGAATTCAATTGTTGTTGCTCCTACTCCAACTAACTCCAACTCCAAACCATCACGCATCCCAAGGACGATCGACATTGTTTCATCTGTTCAACTATTCGTCCGTGAGAAGCGACAGCTCCGGTGTCGTGTAGTGGCTGCCGATGTTTTGTCCCACCTCGCAAACACAGGCGTAATTAACTTCGATAGGACAGACAAGCTGTCGTCCTCCACAGCATTGAGGAATGTTCAACGCTTCTTGCAGTTTTGTGGCTACAAACGTGGAAGTAAGAAAGGAAAAAAGTTATTGGCACTCACCGAAAAAAACACCATGCTACGGGACATCTACGTTCAGCAAATGTGCGCGGCAACCCAACATGTTAATCCTCGGGATCGACGAACAATTGTATACTCAGACGAAAGTTTTATTCACCACCATTACAACAAAAGTGACATGTCCCTCTACGACCCATCAGACGACCTGGACAGCCAACCAAAAGCGAAGCACAAAGGGAAGCGATACTGCTTCATTGGTGCCATTGTAGATGACGGGGAGTCCAACTCAAGGTTTATCACCTACGAAAAGTTTTTTGGAACAGGCCGCAAACAAACTGCAGCCAATCGAGGTTGTATGGGCGATCATAAAAGGAAATGTTGGTAGACAGTACCAGGACGACACGACATTCCATGACGTTGGGCAGCGCTTGGACACAGCTTGTGCCAGCTTGACATCACATGCGATATTTGGCTGTATCGGGAAGGCTGAGCATGGCCTGTTGGACCTACACAAACACGTATCAATCATCGATGACGACAACTACGAAGAGGAGTGCCATTCAGACGGCAACGAATCTGACGGCTCCGTGTCCAGCTCTTCCTCACAGTCGGAATGACTGAAACCGTGGCGCATGACAGCGAGTTTCGAACTCCGAAAAAATATGATTTCATAACTTTATAATGTGGTGTAAAATGTGGGTATTGATTTATGCAGTTTCTAAGCATACAACAAGTTCTCCAACACATGATCTATCCGGATAAATATCCGTTAAGCTCCCTCGGAGCTGTCGTGGACTGTGAATGTATTTATCCCTAGCACTAGCAACATCGTTAGATAGCTTTACCGAATGCATTCCTTTCATTCGCCGCGTCGAAATCCCTTTTTTACCAAAAATTGCTGTACTAACCGCAAACACACATTTCCTTCTTTCTTGTTTGTTGGGTCGAAGGTCACAATGTTGTGCTCAAGGAGCAAACTCATCACATCTTTTGCAACCACTCGTGTACGTGTTAATCGACGCTCACGAACGAATGATTGAATGATAGACAAGACCTGTTTTATGTCTGGAATGCGTGTTTTGCGGCTAGACCTATTCGCAGCAACTTTGGCAGCAGTGACTGTCTTAGTACGTTGGAATTCAGGCCAGATTTCCTTTACTGAGTGAAGGATTCTACCAACAAGCTTCGCGATTTGCTCTGCAACACCTACAGTATTGGTATATCGTAGTTGAGCATGCATGCGTAGTATCATTAGACGTTCGTCCTTTGACAAGCTCCGGGACCGTTCACTGTCGACGAAACTGGTGATCTCGTCGTAGAGCTCAGGATTGACTTCAGGCATTTGCAGGTGCACAGTAGAGTGAATTCCGATAACGTTTTATGTATCTTCTATCTACATGTGCCTGTTGGAATGACTGGTCGTTGCACCGAGGCACTGAGACATGACATGTCATACACCCACCCCTGGCACACTGACCAATAACACTGAAGGCACAAAACATATGTAAATTGATATCAAGCGTGTCAAGGTATCCGCTGCCGACTACGCAAATAAATTTCTCAGGGTGGCATATTAACTGTTAGAAGTTATCAATATTAAGAACGCCTAAGTCTGGCGTCCGAGCCTGCTGGCCGTGCAAGCGGACAATATAAATTTCAACGGAATAATACGGAACCAAATTCAAAAACGCTTCAGGTCTATTTATTATCTGGGCGTTCTCTTTCCGAAACAGGTATTATAGGCCCATATCGGCCTAAATTACCTGTTGCGGATTTCTGAAACAGGACGTTAAACATGAGTTTTTTTGCATTCACGTTTTTCTACCTGTTGCGGATTATAGAGTTGCAAAAGGTAAACAGACCGCTTTAAAGAAAAACCGTTAACCAGGCACGTTGGGTGGGAGGGTGGCGGGTAGGGGTCCGAGCCCTGCCAAGGCAGACATTTCGGAGGATACGGACTGCATTGCCTGTAGTAGTGTGTGGATGTTAGATTCGAGGTATGGGAGGCGTGCAGCTAAGGCAGCCTGTTGGGACTCGTATTGTGTGACCGCGGTGTTCAGGCGAATGTGTGCCACTGCACGTAAGCGGTTTTCCTCGGCCTGGAGAAGTTCCGCGGCTTCACGTAGGCGGCGTTCCTCGTGGAGGCGCGCTTCTCGAGTGGTGAAGGCAGCGCTGGAGGCAGAGACAAGTGCAGCCAGGGCTTCTTTGTCAGCGCGGAGGGACTCGACCTCCTGTCGAAGTGGGGTCGTGGCCGATAGGATGCGTTGGTTCACGTACGTGGAGAGCTCACGCCGGAGGTATAGATTGAGGTATGTGGTGTGTCCGGGGGCCTGGTGCGGGTGGCGCTGAAGTGGGAGTTGCCAGGCCTGGGATTGGTGTTGGGGGCCTTCCGTGGCGGAGTGTAGGGGGACGGAGCGTGTGTGTCGTCCTGCGTGGCGGTGGCGACTTGTACTGCGCGTGCGCGTGTCGGGGCTGCGTAGGTACCTGCGAGGGGTGGATAGGTGAAGCGGTCGCAGGGTTGACCCTGGTGGTCGTGTCGACCATAGTCCCGGCACTGTAACGGCGCAGCGGACAGGCGGGGCGCCCGGTGAGGATGTGTAGGTGGACTGCAATGTCACGGATATATAGTCGGGTCTCGCCATGGGGGCCAGAGGTGGACCAGAGAAAGGCGACGGGTGCTGGAGTGTCAAACGTGAGGGTGGCATAGCCGTCTCCTGTGATATCGACGTCTGGGGTGGGAAGGCGGGCAATGCGGAATTTGGTATCCACAAGTGTGGCGGCACTGGTGGCCTGTGAAGAAGGTGGATGTGGGGGACAACCCCATATCAGAGGTCGGGTAAGGGAATGAGCTTCATGAAGGGGGGGACTAGATCCAGTCGGTTGGGACCGGCCGTGTGCCCGCGGAAGTTGGCGTATATAGTTTCTGCCATGCTCTGGCTGAGAAAGACGAGGCGGAAGCGGTATTGGCCTTCCGATAGCCAGTTAATGCAGCCAATGGCGCCCAGTGGTCGCGAGGGACATGTGTTCCGGACATCCGAGTAGCTTTGGACAATGGCGTCAGTTGCCCCAAGGGCGCGGAGGGCGACCATGAGGTCACCAGGGGAGATTTTGGATGGGTTGCGGTATTCAAGCTGGTGGAAAGAGAGGCCGTTGTCGAGCACACCAGCATATTGGAAGATCATGACTACAGTTATGTCGCGGAGATAGAGATAACCGAAACCCCGAAAACCCTGGATGGTGCGTTGGAGGGGGTCTCCGAGGTGCTGCTGGCCATGTTCGAGGAGGTCCCCTCGAAAGGTAAGGCCGAAGTGTTCCTGACAGATATCCTCGATCTCGCGTCGGTAGTTCAGGATGCTGAGTTGGTCGTCCGGATGCTGGAGGGACGGGTTGATGGAGAACTGGATACGGACTTTGGCATCTGCGAATTGTCGCTCCACATCGGCTATGTCGTCCGCGGTGAAGCATTGGAAGAGGTGCGCCTCCCGCTCCCAGTAACGTTGCATGGTGCGGTACAGGTTTGGCTGTCCTTCGTCATGTAGGTTTCGGATGCCCGGAAACTGGAGGGCTGTGTTGGCGTCATACTCCTCCTGGTCGTCGTCATCGATAGTATGGTCGGCTACTCCCTGCTCGGTCTGCCCAGGTTCACAGGGGCTTGGCTGGTATTGTGGGGTGGGATATCGCATATCGTGGAGTCGCTTTGTCGGCGGGAGGTGGAAGGAGGGTTGTGAAAAGTCCAGGCCGGGTTCGATGTCGGAGTGGTGACGTTTGACTGTTGGTGGTCGGGGTGGGTGAGAGGGAGAGCCAATGTGGGGGATGGGATGGTCCGAGCCAGGTGAACGTGAGCATATCATCGAAGGTTGGATGGGTGGTGCGCTGTACGGGGTTGGATTCGGGATGCTGCATTTTTGAGGATGTCGGGCGGTGTGTGCCCAGTATGTGTGTATCAGTTGGCGTGGTCCGGCTTTGGCCAACGGGGGGAGATGACGGTGATGGGACGGGGTTGTGGAGTGGGATATCCCGATGGGTGGGGACTAAGGAGCAGGGTGGTGTGTCGTGACTGGAGCTGGGGTAGTGAGCGTGGGAAAGGTATGTGTTGGTCCAGAGCGTGACGTGGGGGGGCGTCATGTTTGGTGGTGGTGCCGCTGGTGTGGGACATGCGGGTTCAGGAGCTGATGCAGGAGCGGTCGTGGGCTGTACAGCAGACGGAGCAGGGCGTGTGGATGGGGTGTACTCATGTGGCGGTGCGTAGTCTGCGGGGGAACTGGCTTGCTTGGAGGACGAGCCGGTGGCCGCAGGAGAGGTTGGGTGTGAGTGGCATTTCCCAAGGGTTGGGATGGCAGGAATGGTTGCCTGTGGAGGCCCATGGCAGTGTGTAATGGGTGCTGGTATGGGTGTGGTGATGTGTGCAGTGGATATGGGGAGGGTGTTTAGAGGGTATCGACGCCATATGTCCGGAAGGGAGCTCTGAGTAGAGAAACCTTTGGCCGTTTTGGAGGGTTAAAAGGGAGTGGGAATCTGAGCGGGTGGAGTAGTTGGACTTAGCTGGAGGGATGGAGTTTGGTATGGGCGGTTGGCAGTGTTGGACTTGCGTGTCTGTCTGGCGCGGATAGGGATGTCATCCTCGGAGAGTGCATCGGGGATAGGGGTGGTCATGCCGGGCCGGGTGGGCCGTGTTTCTTGTGTGTGTGGCGCGGCCGAGGAGCGGACCGTGGGGTGCTGGTACGGTCGTGGCAAGCAAGAAACGTGTCAGTGGTGTCAGAGGCAGAGTCGTTTTCGGAGGAGGATGGGTGAGGTTGGCGAATGATGCCGGTAGCCGGCACCTGGATGGCAGTGGGGACGCCGTTGCGGTGAACGATGACGGTGTTTCGGGGTTTCGGGGTGGCCATAGGGGTTGGCATGGTCTGGGTGTTCGATAGTGTCAGAGGTGTTGTCTGGTGCTTGCCGAGGTCCGGCAAAAGCGAGGCCATGGACGTTGTTGTAGATTGTTGGTGTGCTCGGGACGCCGCGACCCACTTGTGGGTTACCAGGTAAATTTGAAGCGAAATCTTTTTAGGTGTGCACCTCATTCACATATTAGTACACCGTTGTAACGTTACCAGTATTAGTAGTATCCGATTATATTAATACTATTAATACTACCGGTACAGTATACTGGTAAAGTTATACACGTTGCCACCGAAGACATGAAACAACATGACTACACTGGTCCGCGGTAACACTCGGCCAGGGCAACTCTACAAAAATTAAATAATTTTGTAATTGTGCCAAAGTAGAATACCCTTGATGGATTGGTTAAATCAAATTGTAATAAACCAACCAATCACAAACAAGATTGTCTGTAATTGGCTGGATTCAAATGTCTAAACGCAACACAACCTGCCACGCAGTCCTCTCAATCACTTTCGAAATGGAGCAACGCAAACGACACCAGTTTCGATACACCAACGGACAACGGAAGGCCCTCCTCCAAGAGTTTCATGAAGCCAACGAAACAAGCGAGCGAAAGTTCTGCCGCGACAAGCATCTTGCCTACTCGACATGGCAAGGGTGGCGACTGAAGGAAGACAATATCATGGCGAACAAGAGGCACAACCGCCTTGCCACCATGGGCAGCCAAGGGCACACGACACTCATACCGTTCAAGGACGAGCTGCTCGCATACATGCGCGATCGCCGCGGCACCGAGCGATACGTCCGAGCATTCCACCTTTTGCAGTGCGTCAAGAGGAACAAGCGCGAGTGGCCCACGGTGTACCTGCTCACAAAACAAATCGAGGCGGTGGCGTAGAAATCGTTTCGTTGCCTACTCCTGCGCTTCGCATGCCGCAACCGCTTTCGTCTTCGGAATTCCATGCATCAGCAAGGCCAATCAACAAGTCTTGGACGAGGTGTGGCTTGGCTACGCCGCTACGTTTTGGAACAAGTACGGTCACTACGACAAAAAACACATCCTGAACGTCGACGAGACATCTGTCTTTTTTGACATGCCTCCGGGAAAGACATTGGCTGAAATCGGTCAGTCGAGCAAGGTGTCAGATGGCGAGAAGCACTCTCATCGTCTCACGGCTGTTTTGTCAATTTACGCAGACGGTACATTGAGATGTCATATCATTGTATGAAATCATGTATTTTAGGTGAGAAATTACCCATGTACTTCATACTCAAAGGGACTCCTGGTGGTGTGATTGAGCGTCAGGAGCTCGGTACGTACCCACCTGGTCATTTCTATGTGGTCCAAAGCAATGCGTGGATGGACGAACGCGTGTGTTCCATGTACCTCGATGAGGTGCTTGCTCCTTGTGTTGATGACGCGTCCGTGTTGTTGGTTGACAATTTGGCATGTCACGTGTCGGAGGCGTCCCACGACAAGGTTGCCGAGACCCACTTCAGTGTTGTGGAACCATTACCTCCAAACTCAACCAGCCGCTGCCAGCCTCTCGACGTTGGGGTTATGGGGCCTCTGAAGGCGATGCTCAAAACTGCCTGGCTGTTGGAAGAAGACAACCGCAGCGGTGACGAAATCTTTACTGCCCAAGAAAAGCGCCTGGCAAGGGTAAAACGAACCATTCTTGTATGGGAAAAGATTACATCAGAATCGATAGTAAAGTCGTTTGAAAAGGCGATTCCTAATAGTGTTAGAAATATAAATACAATTATTTGTGTGGGATAGAAATTGGAAATATTAAGCTTTGGGAAAAACTTGGCGCACTCCGGGACTTGAACCCGGGGCCTTTCCACCACCGCCAACAAAAAAACCGTCTAACTGATTTGCTACGCGCCAAGGGATTGGCTTGTTACAAGGTGCATCGAATTGCTCAGAATCACCTGTAAGATTTAATTTTGAGTACGTATGAGTTCTTACAAGATCTATGCAATGGAAATTACTACCTCTGTTCCACGTTACAACCGACATTGGATAAAATCAAATTTATCACGTTACTGCCGACATATAGCTACCATTGGTTGAGTAAGAAAATGCAATAACTGATGTCATTGGTCTCAACTAGCCTAAGAGGGAAGCTGGGCAGGACAAGTTTGCCGAAAGTGTCCCGGCGCGTCGCTTGGCGTCCTTCTTGAGATGGGGTAAGGGAAAGTGGTTTGAACCGTTGTGCTCAAGCACAAGACGCATGACGGCCTGAAAAGTGTGGAAGACATTCTCAAGCTTTTCAGAGCTGAGCGCCTCAAAGGATGCAAGCGTCGATTGAATCGCGTCATCAATGGAGTGACTCACCACCTTGTTTTGTAGAGACTGGATGGAGGCGAAGTACCCCAAGTCGAGCACGTTCAGGTCTGGGCTATTGGGCGGTTGGCGCTGCACCACAAACGTCCAACCATCGGTGGACACACAGGCCAAGATTGCGTCGGTGATAGCGCCGTGCGGCGTCGCATTGTCATGTTGAAGGGCCACTCTCTTGTTGACGCTTGGAAACTTGGCCTTGAAACTTGGCCTTGATGGCAGGTACGACCCTTGTGATGACGTAGTCGCGGTACAATACTGCATCAACGTTGACGATCGTAGGGACAATCGTGCCCGCGGGGCGGTTGCGGGAGTTGCGGGCGGCGGGCAGGTACTTCACGACAGGCCACATCCCGATCTTTCCGTCGAACATGACACCACGCTCATCATCGTGTCTAGGACGTGCCACTGCTGCCAGGAACATAACTTTAGGAATGAATCGCTTACTCTTCGCCGTACGCCGCTTGATGGACTGCCCTTTGACAACGTACACCTTTCGGCGGTCTTTGTCCGCGTTAAACCACTTCTCGTCGAGGTGCACAACGTCCCACATGGCGTCAAACTCGTAGGTCACTTCTGGTGGTGTTTCGGTACGTTCGATAGTATTGGCGTCCGTCAGCAGCGGTTTGAGACGAGTGTTCTTGCGCTCAATCGTTCCGTCTTTTAGGCGTCGGCTCAGCGTGCCCATGGACAGTCCGGTGGCTTGGGAGATGTCGCGCATTGTCGAGCGCTGTTCCTCCGGGACCTCACTGACGAGCGTAGATACAATGGAAGCTGTGTTGATCTTCTTGTCGCCGACGCGCCCTAGTTTGCCTGACGGCATACGACTGTTGCGTTTGAAACCTTCCCAGACATTGGAGACAGTGGTGCGGTGCAACTGCATGTGTTTTGTTCGAAGCCATGATGGCTATGGACTCTGCCAGGGAGGAGCGTGAACGCGTACGCCATGAAGAACGCCTTCGTCGTCAAGAACAAGTTGATGCTATTCGTGAGGAACGGCAATCCAAGATGGACCAAGTGTTGCTAGCGGTTTTGGCAAAGCTGGTAGACAAGTGATGACATAATCTAATTAGGCGTCTTACCTAAGTAGGACAAATATAAATGAGAATCACGACATTTTACATTATAATACGAATAGTATTACTTGCATAAAGCAAGAAACAACCTAATTTACAGTTAGACGAAATGATTCCTATTTTCGCCAATGAACATGCAACAAATACAAATAAGCCGAATATAAACTACAACTAGGATTATTATTGTCGTGATTGTGTTAGATCGACATCTTGATGTTAGGATTGTTAAAACAAATAGGACTTCAAATCCCAATAAATTTTTATTGCGAAAAACCAAGAATAGGAATCATTTCAAGTATACTGAATTTAGAATAGAGTTGACCGAATTTGACTAATGCCGGTACACCGCACCCTGAAATTGTACAAGCGGAACATGTTGTTCAAACGCAGTCGACGCAGCGTCGGATCAAACGGCAACGGCAATAGTAGTTGACGATATACTTTTTCAACTGCCCCCATGCCCCACTCAGCTGCTTGTCGGAGTGAAGTGATGGCATTGCTCATCATAAGTAAGCCCTCACGACAAATCGGTGACGCGCGGTCCAAGTCGCCATCTTTCAATGGTGTTCGAATTTTCCCCCGCAGTTCACCACGCACAGGAAACGCAGCGTCGGCCACCACACCGTGACCTGCGGCTGTTCGCTTGCCGTCCAGCAGCTTCATCTGCAGGTTGATACTGGTGTCGCCGTCATTCCAGCTTCCGACGAAGTTGTGTCGGCACCAAACGATCGTTCCGTCGGCGCCAAAAAGCAGCGTACCCGTCACAAAGACGCTGTGCCACCAGCCGTTGAACATTGCGTTCTGAAGGTCCGCACTGGACGGGCTCTTCACACGATAATTCTTGCCGTCAAGAAAACCCCACACCCCATGCACCAACGGCTCCCGTTCGGCCACTTGCCGTGCCCACTCCATTTGCGTCCGTTTCGATGGGTAATGAACTCTCGCCTGGTCTATGCTCTCCAACGCAAGTCCCAACGTGACCTCAGCCTTTCGGAGCGTCGTTGCAAACGTCGACGGAGGGACTCCAAACATTTCGCACATGGTCTTGTGCTCGCATGCCGCAGTGTAGTAGTGGAGGACAAGTGCCAATGCTTGGTGCTTGTGCGGCAGTTTGGGGGGGCGTCCTGACTTGAAGATTCGGGTCTTCCAGGTGAAGTGCTTGGAAAACTCGTGCAGCAGGTTGTGAAAGGCGTCGGGTGGCAAGGACACGGTTGTTATGAATGCACTGCGGTCTATCGTACCATATAACACTGTCCATGGACTCGCGTTGGGTGGTACGAGGACATTGCTGGTCAGGTAGTGTCGTTCCTTTAAGGATATTCGTGCTCTGAACAAGCGGAGTTTGCTAAGAGCATCGAGAGCCTCGTCGTTGGCATCGTCGTCGTCGTCCAGCAAGTGCAACCACAGACATCGCCTCATTGCTAAGGCATGTTGCTTTATCCGTACTACAACAGTATCCGTACCAAATAGTCTGGACCCGACGCAAATTTGGATGAGGCGCTTTTCTGACCTCACCAAAATTTGCGACGCATTTGAATTATAATTCCGGATGATTTTGGTGGCGCAAAATAAAGTTTGCGCCGGTTTCTGAAGTCCTCCAATGTAGACCCCCTCTCATTTTCGATTCTCTTTCGAACATGATTGGGCTCATTGATTTTGGCCGTAAAATGAATTATTGGGGTTACTGGAGTGAGTTGTGTCGGTTGTAACGTGGAACAGAGGTAGTACTGGTTTATATGTGAATTTTTCTAGCCAATGAGAGTGGACTAACTCTCCTCCCATGACACGAGATTCATTATAATTTCTTGGCATGGAGTACCACTATAAATACAAATTCCAAGTACACGTATTGTGGTGCACTGACCGAGTTTTACCGCAGACCATTGAGGAGTTTCGTCCGAGAAACTGTTGTATTAATACTAACGTTATTAATACTACAGTATACCAGTAACGTGTACAGTATAACTTTACCACTACAGTATACCAGTAGTGGTAAAGTTATACTGTACACGTTGCCACCGAAGACATGAAACAACATGACCACACCGCACGATTGAGGAGTTTCGTCCGCGAAACTGTTGTCCAAAATAAGCCTACGACTCAGTCCATCACTCGAGATGCAGCAGCTCGCGGTGTCGGCTAAGCCCGTCGTCGTCCACGTCGGCCTGCACTGGACCTCGTTGGTCGTGAGTTGTCTATTCACGTTGAATCTCGTCGCCATGCCTTTCTATTTCTACCTCCACATGCCCATCTTCCCAGTCGAAGAAGAAGCAGTGCCAGGGGTCAACAGCACCCGTGCGTACGTTACTTCGATGCAAGCACGATACACCCCCCGCCTCGCCAATCAAGTCTACGTCTCCGACGTCCACAGCGGCATCATTGCCCTTCGGACGGATCTGTCAAGTGAATTACTCGGTCTCTGCGACGACCACAAGGCTCTTCTGGGGTCTCGTATCCAAGGCTCCGTCTTTTTTTCACCCTCGATTCAGGCCATGACCATCGAGTTTGTGTGCGGAAAGAACCACACCAACGTGGATGCGCTGTGGGGCCACTACTACTTTGGCGTGCACGTGGCCAATTCAGTGCTGTGGTCCTCTCAACACGGCGACGTTTCTACTTTATGCTACCTCTTCGACCCGTTCGTACATTACTGGACGTGCAGCATCCTCGAGTTTCTAAGTCGCGTGTTCCTGAGCGGGTATATTGCGCACCAATGCTGGCGGTACTTTTACGACCCCGTAGCTCAGCTCTTTGGCGACTTACGCTCGAATCCCCAAGGCAAAACCTGTCGCAATGTGCAGCTCGTGATCGGGGAGCCTACGAGTTTGGTCGTGTCCAATGCATGGATTGTGCTGGCGTTCACGATGGACATCCTCCTGCATCCTGGCACATTGGGCTCGGCCACGCTGCGACTCATTCAGCCGTTCGACGTTTGGGGGGGCGTCCTCGGTTCGTTGTATTTTGGCCGCCTCGTTTGGGTGTCGTATGCTGCATTGTGGCTATGGAACTACCTTTACAAGCACTCTGCCAGGCTTTCGCCCGTGAGCTGTACCGTGTGCGCGTGGACTACCACGGTTCTTGGCGTGGTACTGACCAAAATCGATTTCATCTGGACACTGGCGCTGCAGCTGTTTATGGCCATGTTCAACGTGCACCAAGCCGTGGAGGCCATCGACGTCACTTTTGGGACCATCGTGTCATGTGTCTTGTATGGGCTCGTGCCATTTGGCTTGGCGTGTGTCGAGGGAACGTACTGGCGGCTCTGCTGGGCGAAAATCAACCCCACCCCGTTCAACGGTCGAGCGCACCGGCTGGCCCACGGCGACGTTAAACTGCGATTCCTCACTTGGTTGTATCGAGTTCACAACAAACAAGACGACGCCACCAGTACGTTATACCAGTACAGTATGTACTAGGACTTTTGTGTTGATATTTTCGCCAAATCTATCGATCGATCTCTTTGTAACTAGTTACTATGTAAAAGTGGGTCAGTGTCACACTAATTTCAGACACACACTAATTTGAAGTTGCATTGGTCGATCATTGGCTGCTTGATTCGTGATCTGGGTTTTGATTGGTCAATATATCGATTCTCATTCGATTGAACAAACAATACTTGAATCGACTTGACAATACTACTACTAACGTTAAACACGAGATTCCATGGCATACGGTATATTTAATCTAACGTTGCTGGCAGAATCGGATCGGGGGTCGATTTATAAGCTGTTTGCTATGGACGAACGCAGCCAACGCAATGCAACCGTGAGCCAAAACAGCACCGATTGCTACGTGCGCAGCTTGAGTGCGACGATGCACCAGTTGGACGTGGCCAGAGTGAGCTTAGCGTCGCGCATCAAGTGGCACAAGGACATGTCGTTGACGTTTCAATCGAACCTGAGTACGACGTCGGTGCTGGGGGAGTTGCACGTGTCGGAAGCCAGTGACAGCAGCACCTCCGGGCCTAGTGTGACCCTTGTAGGGGCTAAGAATGCGTTGTGGGTGCAATAAACCGTTGATAGTCGTCTTTCAGTGTTGTCGATTTATGTTAAAATAAATACTGTTCTTTCTTGATCTCAATCTCGATCCCAACTTGCGTCCTCAGCTGACGGCAGTATGATCTGTTGTGATAAAATACCATGTAATAGCTAGCACTAGCGTTTTCATACTAAGCATACTATAAAGTAAATGGATACATGCCATCTGAACGACCCACCAATTCTCCACGGGTACTGTAGTACTCCCACGACATCGAATGTGCTTTGTAGAAACTTCACAAGTTCCACATGTCCATGTCGCTTGGTCAATTGCATTGCTCACCCTTCTTTACGATGTTCATGCAAGACGAATCGCACAAACTCCAAATGTCCATTGCTCGCGGCTGAATCCTGGATCGCGATGGACGGGACGATGTCGAGATCACCCTTCATGGCAGCATAATCCATCGTACTCTCAGCACATCCGCCATAGTTGTTCGCGCGTAGCCATTGCATTTCATTCAGGTGATGGGGTCGAAGGCTTCGACCCCCATATTGAGCTACACCACACAAAGATACGACAGGGGTCACTGCTTGGCATGCATGACACCAGGTTTCGAAATCGGGACGTGTGGTGTTGAGGGTACCACGCGTTGGCAGCAGATCGACACGAAGCGCCAAGCTTACCTACCGGTAGATCCAGCGGAGCTCCTCGATCGACGAACACATTTCCATTTCCAAAGGCAGGTAGTATTGCCTTTGGAAATGGAAATGTGTTCGTTATCCGGACGTCGCACTTTTTATTCGGAAACATAGGTTTTCCGGATAGTACCGTAGCGGCAAATATGGACTTTCAAATTCAAATTTTTGCATCGCGATGGTGGACGTAAGCGAGCTCCATGAGATCCTGCAGGAAGCGGCGGCGGAACCCCCGGCAAATGACGAAGGATTCCACCAGGAGAAGACCATCCAGAAGCTCCAGACGCTGTACGACCAGACTCCCTGCATGAACGACCTCCAGAGCGCGCTGGTTGGCGCCATGGCGGACGATCGCAAGGGCAAAATCGCGCCGGCCATCGACCGCGTGCTCGAAGTCGTGAGCGCCGTCAAATACTCCACGGAAGACGTGCTTGTGATCCTTCAGTTCGGTATTCGGTGCAGTCAAGCGGAGGACAAGCAGATCCGCCTTCGATCCACGCAACTCGTGGCGCTGCTGCTCCAGAACCTTCCCGAGATTCCGTACTTTCCTCCCTTCCCCGTGCAACCTCGATCACCTTGTCATGTAGGGATTCCATCTGGGACGAGTTGGTCGAGTCCATGCTCATTCGCGTCCGCGACAAGATCGTGGCCATTCGCGTGCAGACGGTCCTCGTGCTGAAGCGCCTCCAGCAGCCCGAATTGCCCGACGACGTCGTGACCGCGGCGTTGCTTCGCCTCGCAGTCGTGGACACCAACAAGTACACGCTCGTTCGAGTCCATCCTTTCTCATTCTCATATCTAGGGAAGTCCGCGTCGCCGCCGTCGAAAGCGTCGCGCTGACCCAACTGTCGGTGGGGGACCTACTCATCCGCGTGCGCGACATCAGCTTTGACGTGCGCTGCGCCGTGTTTCGCGTGTTCTCCCAGGTACGTCCCCCCATCCTGTCCTTTCCATCTCCTACTTGTAATTCCACGTAGACCCACGTCAAGGACATTTGCACGGCGCTGGATCGCATGTACCTTCTCGACCAAGGCCTACAAGACCGCCATCCGTCGGTCGTTGAGTCGTGCCAAGCGATGGTCGTCCACTGGTTGCGGCAGTGCCATGACAACATGCTCGAGTTCCTCGAGTACCTGGCGTTGGACCACCCCGTGTGCGCCGTCGTGGTCCAGTTCCTGCTGGACAAAGCCGCCATTTCCGACTTGCCGCCGATCAAGAGCAAGGCGCTGCTGGGGTCGACACTCACGCCCACCGAGTCGTTCTTGTGGAAGGAGCAGTGCATCCACTTCAAGAAAGATCATGAGTTTGTCGAAGACAACTGCCCGACCCTTCCCGCCTACTGCGACTTGCTTCGCCATGTCCAGGACCAATGTTTGGTACGATCTTTTACCCCAAATGAGAGAAATATTTCTCCAAATAGTATTCGAATCCACTTGATCCAATTTAAACTTGTACAAACAAATATGCTATACAAAGAGTAGTAAATATATATATACGGTTTAACAATTCGCGTGGTTTGTCAAATCAATATTGAATATCACGGTGGAGTTCTGATTGGTTGAATATACTTGTCCTTCTTTCTGTAAGAGCCAATCAAATCCACTCAAAATTGGATTAGCCAATAGCGTCGATGATTCGAGAGTCGGCGGCGAGATTCGATTGGACAGGGTCTAGACATTTGTACCGAATGCACAATATATCTTGTATGTATATGCTGTTGGTTCGTAGTGTGTTACATGCTGATGCGTCAAATGTATCGATCGATTCTTTGTATTGAAGTTTGTATGTAAAATATATCACACTAATTTCAGTCACACGCTAGGATTCGACGTTGACGATGATTTCCTGCAATCTGATTGGCTAAATCCTTCTGCCGATACTTCTGCGCATTTGGTTGTGTCGATTCATTCTTTATTCTCCATGTCGCTCCAGTTTAGAAGGAACACACCACAATAGGACTTCCGGATCGAATGTCGTGAATCTCTCCCATTGGTCAATTCGAAATTACTTGTCGCGGATTTGCTACAAACCAATTTCATTTTTCTACTGGAATATTAGCCAATCCGATATCGCGGCGAGTTTTGTGCGAACCATGAAAAAAATTGGAAAAAAAATCGACAATTCATATATACTACTGTATATATATATGATCGATAAGTTGACTTTTTATCAGATGATCGATTGCTTCGTGATCTCAATTCATTATTATTTATATATATATATATATATAGAACGCAGAAGCAACGGAAAAGGCGGCGGCGGTGCTCGTGGGTCGCCACTTGCTGCAGTTGGGCACGGCGTTGGACTTTCAAGACGAAGTGGGGCGGCGGCTGCTGATCAATTCATTACGTCCGTCCGTCGTGTGCTCGACCGAAATATTATTAATATTATATATATGTATTTTATATCTTAGGCGAATGGCTGGGCGAATGGACGTTTGAAAGCCAGTGGATCCAAGACGCAGTGAGTTTGCTGGCGATTTTGTGCGAAGAATTCGAGTTCATCCAATACATGACTGAAATCACGAGCGATATCTACGACGCCATGCAAGAGTGCGAGAGCTTGAGCCCCACGAAACGACGGGCGATGAGCGAACGGCTGGACGCGATCGACCAGCGCATGGACGAGGCAGACGTGCCTTCCCAGGTACAAGTGACAATATATATATATATATATATATGTACCCCAAATTTGGTGGTTTTTAAAGTCGATTAATGGAATCGGTACAAATGAACCTTGATATTGTCGGTTTATAACGTATTATTACCCATGTACCCCAAATTTAGTGGG